TACACCCTACCCAAAGGGACACTACTGAGACTCCAAAGGGCTTTGGTATAGATCCATAAAGAATACAGCAGCTATATAGCTGTAATTGCTCTAAAGGTCACAAAAGTTTCCATTTACTTCTGCAGTAGTCATAAAGGGTAAAGGGATCTATTTTTTAAAAGAAAAACCATTAACTTACAGCAAATAAATGTCCAATTGCAACAGAAAATCCAATTGCTAAAGCTACTGAACCAGTGACATCACTTCGTTTTGAATCACAGCTAGCAAAAATAGTAAAAACCAGCTGGAATGTAATTATCAATTCCACCAGGAGTCCATGCCCAGCAGAAAGATCTCTGTGTACCTGGAAGAAGGCAAAGAAACACCAGAAGTGAAGAAAAAGTGATTTTGTAAATCAGAAAGCCATTACATGCACAAATTGTATTTCTATGAATGGTATTTCTAAGTAGTACAAAGTGAAATACAACGACAAACTTTTAAAGGTACAGATTCCCCCCTCTTCACTCTTCTCCCTTTTTTTTTTTTTTTTTTTTTACTTTAAAATGATTTTTGATTTTGAGAAACATGGAAAATCAGTACTGGACTCAGAACAGAATGCTTAACAGTAACATTCAACTGAAACTTCAAAGTTAGGCTGCAGAAGTATAGTTTATTTTTACACAGGGATTTGCAAATGCTGCACTTCCCTTTCACCATTTTTTTTTCTTGGGAGCACTGTAATTTACTATTCAATTATAAATTCATTAATTAGCCCTGACTTAATTAATTTAAATTTCAATTAAAAATTAAGCAGTGTGCGGCTCAAGTGCATTTTTAATAAGTCCTGCAACAGGGCTAACTGATGGCATTCCTTATTAGTTTAGAACAAAGCTGAAATCTAAGTCACAATCTATTTCAAAAGTATGTCATTTTAAATTGATGTTTTTTCAATCCCCATCATAATAGCATGGAATTAATTTCCCCCCTCCCCAGACCATATAAAAATGGCATTTCACGCATATATTATTTAAATTTTGTATGTAAATTAACATCACCTGCTGTCATCAGATTTGGGGAAGTTCTAGGAAGGAGAGTTTCTATAAAAAGATCAGCTACAACTATTACACTGCACAAACCCATCCTAAGGAGCTGGATGCTGTAAATAAACCAGCAAGCTGTTAAAATCTGTACCTGAGCTCTCCTCATTGTGTGTGACACTGATTCTATTTTCTCAGGGTCTGAGCTAGCCTAGCTGAAGAGGCAGAGGAGAAGTGGTGATTACCGCAGTGACTCCCAGGCCTCCCACCACGCTGGGCGGTGTGACGAGGTAGAGGATGCCCGCGCCCACGATGGCTCCCAGGCACTGGGCAAGAATGTAGAAGACGGACTTGGCAAGGCTGATCTTCCTCGTGCAGACCATGGCCACGGTCACAGCAGGGTTGATGTGGCCTCCGCTGATGTGTCCAAAGCACTGCACCATGGTGGCAATGCTGAGTCCAAAGCAGAGGGATATAAGGACCATGTCCACAGGCAGCGGATTCTCTGCTCCACCCCAGTTGATCGTGGAGCCGAGGCTGAGGAGGACAAAAATGAGCATGGCCAAAAATTCTGCCGAAACAGCTTTCCAGAAGGGCTGAGTCCAGACTCCTTTAAACGCCACCATAATTCTCTCACACTTACACAGACGTCCACACTTACTGAAAAGGAAAGCAAATCTTCATCAGAAGTCACCAAATAAACCTTACACTCTCCTGTTGGGGGTTGCTCTTCAGCAGAGTTTGGAGAGAAGGTGGCAACACTGAGTATCCTTGGGCTGGGACAACCACAGACCAGACTCTTAGAGCAGACTGCCCTTAACACATACCCAGTGTTGGAGTGTCTGCAGGACACAGGGTAATTAATCACTCTTTGTGATAACTCTGTATAGTTTCAGCTACTAAAAAGCAACATCTGTGTATTTTGAAATGACCATGAAATTAAGTGTACTCTTCTATGCTAGCTGGCCTCTGATTTAAGAGGCTGTATAGCTCCACCACTTCCAGTGGCCTGTTGATCATCATGTTCTTTAAATCTCTTTTTCTACGCAAATCTGTTATTTTCACAAAGCAGGTAAGATAATTCAATAAAAAGCGGTATCTTAGTCAAAGCCTATTGGTTTTGATGACAGCGTAGAGTTGGGGAGTTGCCCTTGGAGCTAGAAGAGAAAGTTTATTTGCTTGAACACTCATACAGACCAGTACTTCTATTTATATTTATGCAAAGAGCAGTTTCTTCACCGTGGACAGTGGGTGGAGATTGAATTCAGGCAGGAGAACAGACGCAATCCTACATTCTGACTTTTAAATCAATCATGTAATCAATAAAGTGCTTTCTTTTGGGCTAACGGCGCCAATTGAGCTGGGGAATAGAACAATATTTTCTGCATGTGTGGTGTGTAGAACTCTGCATGGCAAAGAAAGAAGTATCTTGGCTTTTCTTCCTGTCTGGAGATGCTATTTGTTAGTCTACATCGCCTTCCTGATGAGTTACAATTTTGCTAGATTTTCAGATACCTATGAAAGTGGGTCACCAAAGAAAAGTTATTTGTGGTATTAATAAATTAGCAGAATAAGCCAAAAGGGAAGCATTTTAATTAGTTTCTAAGGAATGCTGCAAAGATTCTTCTCTAAAAACAAAAGCAAGAAACATCCGACCCATCCAAAAAGCAGAAAACAAAGAAAGAATATTTAGCTGCTACATTTGGGAACAGAATTTCAAGTGGAAGATAGATGAATTTATGCTCAGTTATCTATGGTAACTGAGCTAGAATGCATATTTAATACCAGTTACATCAGAAAGAAGCATATAAGGCATGTCTGCCCTTTTCAAGTCATTGCAAGAGGAATGGCCCATGAATTTCTTAACAGTTCCAGTGAGTAAGGGAAAAGCAATTTAATGCTGTGACTGCAGCAAATAAGTTGTTTCCCTGACTCATTTCCTATGCTAATTTACTCTGTATTTTGGATAGGCCTTTTGAGCTTTATCTTATTTCTCTAGACTCTCACATGAAAACAATTATATTCTCTCCTAAAAATGGCCCTTGTAAAGTGCTTATGAAGGGATCTGAGACACTTGAATGAGACTTGTTCTTCTGGAGAAGTAAAGGCAGAACCCCAAAATAGAATAAAGTAATACCCCAAATCTTCTGATTTTAAGTCAAACTCAAGATAAATGGAAAGATGTTTTTGTAAGATCTCATATTAACAGTCAGTTAATGACCAACCATCCAGACTAGACTTTTTGTACAAAATGAACCCAAAATCATTGTCTCCCTCAAGGCTGAAGCTCACAGGTATTTGTTCTTACCTTTGAACTCTATGCCGAGATTCACACTGAAACTTAAAGGCTTACCTCTGATTCCCTTACGGCTTCCTTACTAATAATTTCTCTTAGTGACCTGAGCAAGATATAGGTGCTATATCCATACGAGAAAAGCTCATTTTTCCAGTTCCCTGGGCATGTTCTAGGTGAACATAGGGATGACACACATTGTGAAGACCATCGAAAAGAAACCTGGGACCTGGGTGCACAGACAAGGGAAGCAGCACTCAGCTACTCTTTTATCCCTCAGCTCAGCTGGGATGGAACCTGGATTTCCCTGGTGTTATATTCAAGAGTTTTGAAAAATTTCCGGCCACCAAGGGCACTATGGAGGGAATGTAGGTTTATGGAGCATGGTGACTCCTTATGTCTTTGTTCAAATGTGCCTCTCTTTCTATACTCAGAAACAGTGAGATCAGCAAATGAATTACACAACTTCATCCCAGAAAATGGACAGAAAAAGGTGTTTGTATTTGGCATTAAGATCACGCAGTTGGCTTCTCACTAGTTGTGGAACATCTTGGAAAATCACCTTAAGAATGAGTGTGCATGTGCATGTGCATGTGCATGTGAAAGATCACACCTTCTACTGGACTGCTGGTGGGCCTGACTAGAAGGAGGCTACCACTTATGAAGGACAGATCTCACATTGTTTCTCCAGCTGAGAGCACATGCAGTCAATTCAGTCAATACAACATGCAGCCCTAAAAATGCATAAATGCTGCATGCAAGCCATATGCTTCAAACACAAAAGCTGGCTCATCAACCTAAGTTTTTGTTTTTCTGGAATGTCATGCTACATAGCAGTTTGTCAGCCATATTTACAGTTAATGATCTAAACATCTATTTTTAATCCATACCTTTTTTTCTTCTAAGCAGTCTGTTTTTCTATGCTCAGCACACCAAGCAAAATGCTCAGGTGTGAGGGCCAAATTTTTCTCCTAAACTGCACACCTTTCCTCCCTACAGCAAGACCCCCTATAAATGTTAACAGCTTAATACTGTGTTTGAGCCCTGAGCCCATGCTTTCACTTAAATTCAAAGGCAATCAGCAACTTAGAAATCAAAAACATCTCGAACATCCACTATTTGTTCAGTTAAATTTAAAGGCTGGCGATGAGACAGAGTGATGGCTGTGACAGATCTGAAACTGAAATGGGACCTCTCAGCAGCTAAGATTTGCCATCAAAGTAGCAAAACAATTTTTTTTTTTTGAGTAGTTGTTGTTCACATTTTCTTTAGATAAATCCAAAATATAACAGAAAACCACTTTAATGTGATGGTCACACATTAATTTCACAGGTGGGCACACTGCAAATTCTCTGGTCTGGGTTACAAGATTACACAGTAAATTGTGTCTGATAGGATGCAAGGTGGGTTTTGCAGATCACGTTGCCAGCAGGGCTTCAGGCATGATTATGGCTTCAAAACCATAACAATGTAAATCATAACAAAGGTTTTCCTACGAAAGTCAAACAGTATTTTAAAAATTCTTCGTTTTCTAACAAATATAATTTCAAGGAGCAGAGCACACATCCCAGGATGCAGGCTTGTGGCTTTCTCCACACGACACTGCTGTCACACGAAAGTTCTGTGCGTGCAGTGGCTATTTACAGCGGCATCCCCGCAGCAAACTCGCACGCTGCCCGACCTGAGCTTGCACCGCCGGCTGGAGCTCAAATGGACATCGGGCACCTGCCGGCCAACTCTGAGGGAGGAGGGCGACACGCCACTGTTGCAAAACCAGTGCACGGTCGCAGGGCTTGCTTGTAATCATTTCGCCTCATTTCCCAAAAAGCTGTTAGATGAGCGACTGGCATGGACATCCACAGGAGGTGGGGAGTCTTAGGAGCCCAGTACCGCAACTTTTTCACTGTGCGGTACCTGGGCTTTCTCCACACACGACTCTATTGCAGGACCCCAAGTGGACAAGGGAGTTCTAACAAGTGGAAAGAGATTGTGAGTTTGCTTCTCTCTGCACCCTTCGCACCTCTGATGTTAAAACTCCAGCGCGACCGACAGGCTGCGATAGTGCCTTCGGGGAGCCGCTGCCTGGCTGCCATCCCTCGGGGCAAAACGCAGGAGGAGAAAGGCAACAGCAGGAGGAGAAAGGCACCGCACCTGGCTGCGCGCTCCAGCCGGGGCCGGGCAGTCCCGTCCCGCGGCCGCGCACCCCCCGCGCCCAAGCTCTCCCGTAAACTCATCTTTGGTTTGGGGGGGCCGTCCCCGCCCGCCTGCCTGTCTCCTGCCTGTCCCCTGCCTGTCTCCTGCCTGTGTCCTGCCTGTCTCCTGCCTCCCCTCCGTCCCCCGCGCAGGGCCGCGCACTCACCCGCGGCGCGGAGCGGCCGCTCCGTCGCTCATGCCTCCCCGGCGGGCGCGGGTGAGCGGCGGGGGCGGGCGGGCGGCTCTCGAGGAACGGGCGCCGCAGCACCGGCTGCGGGTCGGCTGCGGTCATGTGCCTCTGCAGGGCCAGGCAGCGGGGCAAGGAGAGGAGAGAGCGCCGTGCTCCTGCGGCGCGGGGCCGCCCGGCTATGGGGAGGACTCAAACGATGCTCAGTTTCTTGTCTGCCACGCACTGTGTTGAAGGGAAAATAGCCCTAGTAGCTCAGCAGCCAGGGAGTTTTATCCATCTAAAATGCCTATAAGTACCTTACCAGAACTCTACTGGTTACAAAATCATAGAATATCCTGAGTTGGAAGGGACCCACTAGGATCGAGTCCAACTCCTGGCTCTGCAAAAGACAGCCCCAAGAATCACACCATGTGCCCGAGAGCATTGACCAAACACCTCCTGAGCTCTGGTGCTGTGACCACTTCCCTGGTGAGCCTGTTCCACTGCCAAACCACCCTCTTGGTGAAGAATCTTTTTGTAGTGTGCAACCTAAACATGTTCCGACACACCTTCATGCTGTTCCCTCGGGTCCTATCACTGGTCACCGTAGGGAAGCAATCACTATCTGCCTTTCAGCCTCTAGACTGTGATGAGGTCTCCCCTCAGTCTCCTCTTCTTCTGGCTGAAAAAGCCAAGTGACCCCAGCCACTCTGCATATGGCTTCCCCTCTAGGTCCTTCACCCTCCTTGTAGCCCTCCTTTGGTTGCCTTCTAATAGCTTCATATAATTCTTATATTACGTTTTGTTTGTTGAAGTGGCTAAATTGAATGAAGTTTTGACTAGTATGAAATGCCAAATGGAGGCCACTGTAAAGTAGTGTTTAAATTAAACTGTGATGCTGTCTGTTGAGGAAATTCACATGGTCATTACTCAGTGCTTCTACAGCATGAAAACCGTTCAATGAAAAACAGCCCTTCATGTAATAAGAAAAAACACAAAGTTGCCTAAGGCCCCAGGCACAGCTATTTCATTAGAGAATTCAACTGTCACTTGAAGAAGACATGGTTGAAAATGGAACAAACTATAGAAAATCTGATTTAGACCTTTGCATGCTGTAGAAGAGTATGTGCATAAGTTATATTGAATACATTCTAAGTAACATGTTCAACTGTAAAATGAGTTTAAACTACAGGTAAAGCATTGCATTCATGCATCAACAGTGCAAAATCAAAGTTTGGCATGACCAGCCAGCCTGTACAAGACACATTGTACCAGATAATCCTTCTAACCATGAGTAAACAGTGCCAGATCTGAAGAACTACTCCAGGAAACCACAGACAGAAAGTCCTCCCTGAGCTTCTGCTAGGACATTATAGACAATAATTTACAACAGTGAAAAGTGAGTATAATGTATAACACTATCAATTAAGGATGCCCGAGACAAATTTGTAAATACAGCAATAAAAAAGTCATATCCATATGTTAAATGCCTACCAATCACAGTTTATGGCAAATACAGGATATCATAATGTACAAATGTAGGTATTTCTCTCAATTTGCCTGTTCCTCCTCTAAAGCCATGTCGTAAAGGATGCCAACAGACACTCACAATTTGATGGCAAAAGAGAAGCTGCAAGCTTGATGCTTGCTTTTTTTTTGTTTTCAAACTTCACTTTATTTGTGTATGTCTTGAGTGTAGTAAAGGGATGGGTGGGGGGTGGTTGTGTACAGTCATCATTCCATGTCTCTGCTCTTTCATTTGATGTCTTTGGGTTTTCAATCTAAGCCCTTCACAACCTGCTACAGTGATTTCAGAAAAAAAACTCGTTCTTTGGCACCTTGTTCATTTGATGTCTTTGGGTTTTCAATCTAAGTCCTTCACAATCTGCTACAGTGATTTCAGAAAAAAAACTCACTTGTTCTTTGGCACCTTTTGGACTCTGCTCCTCTGGCATGTCTGTTTGCTCACAAACAAAATTCACTTAGCAAATCCAGTAATTGCTTTTCCTTTTCTGGCAGATAGCGTATATCTGCTCTTTTTGATCTGCAGAGCAGATCACTGCCGCACGGAGAAGCCAGAACATTAATAGCTTCTGTCACTGCTACCATTCTTATTGTGAAAGATCTTCTGCAGGATTAGACAAAGGTTGTGGCCACATAAAACAGAGAAAGGCAATGCTTCGGGCACAAACCTGGAGCGAAGCACACTGTGCCAGCTCTGATCAAACAAACAGACTATGTTCTGTTGAAACCACAGAAGGCAAGGAAGACATCCCTTGAGATGGCACTGAAAATCAGAGGAAAGCTGCCTCAGTTTATCCAGGGGTAAATTTGTCAGTGTTGGGAGTTGGGATTACATACGTTCTTTTTTTTTGTTTGTTTGTTCATAGTTTTACTATTTTTTTTTTCTTATATGTTGTAACCTTTATGAAATCTGGGTTAACTTGTTTTGGACTTCTATCCAACAGTGAAATACTCCTGCTACTGTGCTCAACATAGTTAAGGAAATAACTTACAAAAGAATATTATGAAAAATTTAAAGATGGTGTTAAAACTTAATCCATGTCAGGGTGGGGGGAAATGTGCAGAGGAATCTTGCTGTGCTTCTGCTTCTCCTTCACTGAACATTAAGTCTGAGTTTCTACAGTAATTTCTAGGGCATCATGAATTAAAGATCTCTGTAGGAACTTAAGCCATGGTGGGAAGATGCTGCAACACATAAGACATCCCCATTCTGAACAAGAACTTCCCAGACTGTTGAAGCGTGCTGGATCTGGGATTTCAGTTTGGTCAGTTATGGAGGAGAGGGCACACTGCCAAAGTCAGGGAGGAATGTGCAAACAGCTAATTCCAGCTAAAACAATATGAGGGAGAGGGGCAGAAAAACTCCCAGCACTAGTCTGTCATCTCACTGAATAGCAGTGTGGGAAGAGTCCCTTCATTGCTGTGGCAAAACTCATAAATACCCATCCTGGGCAGCTCTATCAGACTGTGGGGTTTGTCAGCTGAGATTGAAACAGATTTATAGAAAGACCAAAACATAACAAAAGAGCACAATTCAGAAACACTGTCTGTTCTCTCAGTGTCTTAGTCCTTTTCCACCTATACCTACTGGATCTGGACTCTATCCTTCCTTATATTGTTAAGCTCTTGAGCTTGCTTAACTCCTCTCAGCATCACTTCAAGCTTTTAGTTTCCAAAAGCAAGGAAGTTTACATGCCTGTGCTTTCTCTTTCTCTCTCTTTCTCTCTCTTCCCCTCTCTTTGTTCTGGGTGTTCCTGCCCTTTTCAGCAGATCTTGAACCCACCAGCCAATTTCAACTACAGCTGATGGAGGATCAGAAATCCCAAAGCTGTTTAGGCTCCTGCCAGTTCCATGGGCATAAGTGGCTGCAGGTAACCACAGCAAAAGGGACACTTGCTGTCACTGGCAGGACAGACTCCAAGAGGATTTGTACAAGTGCCCTAGTGATGGAGGACTTAGTTGCTGTTTTCAAAGTGGTGCAGACTCCTAGGAGACCAAATTCCTTTGGCCTTCCTTGGCTCCTGTCGACAAGTGCGTTTAAGAGTGGGCTGTGAGCCTTTTCAGAAGCCATTTGCAGAAACTCTCAGGCTTTTTTTTTCCTGAGTGATGAAAAGTTTCATTCTGTTGCCACTAATAAATCCCCCTCCCCTCACCAATTTATGTTTTATAAGTTTGGGTTAAGCTTTGTCTACTAAAAGGATCATACATAAAACACCACTTACTGAAATGTGATCTTTGCACATTTCTGAAGTTTTAATTTTCCTGCGGTGTAATCTTGTTACTTAGGTCATTCATTTTGTCACGCCTTGGTATCAGTCTGGTCCAGGTTTGGCTGCAGGGCTATGTTCTCCTGACATTTAGAGCAAGAATTCCCTGGGAAATCAGTCAAGAGATTTGACATTGCTGCTGGCCAAGCTCCAGTAGGTTTAGTTTTACTCTCCTTCTCTATTTATTGTGGAATCTGTCTGTCCACAAGCTGCACATTGAGTTCTGTGCTAGAGAAGGAGAACTAAAAGGGACAAAATGGCCATTCATTTGAGGGATTCATTCAGGCTTTTCAGAGAGGATTTACAAGAAGCTGTGCACTTAAATGACTGCTGAGCTTCCTTAGCCCTGCACTATTACCTCCCTCAAAAGACAATTTGGATTGAGTGTTTTTTCTTTGCCCTCTCCCCCTCCTCAATAGGCTTTAATTACTGTTGGAAAAGCAAAATTAAGAACCAGGTAGCACAGGAACCACCTGGAGGTTTTTCACCTTTAGAAATAGTTTAATCTGAACATGGCATGGACAGACCCTTTGTTTGAAGGAAAAGAAACAACCCAAACAACAAAACAACAACATCAACAAAAATATTTTTCTCTCCCCTTGCCACAAATTGCAGCAGTGTCAGTTGTGAAAAGATGCATCAGTGTCACAGCCTGTCAGGATTTGATGAACTGGAGAGAAGGTGCAGGGAAGCTGCCCTGGGCACTCATGGGGGCACAGGAAAGTTAGGGGAACGGCCCCAGGCCAACTGGAAATAGAGAAGTAAGGTCTCTTATGGAGGTGGCAGTGTCATGCAGCAGCAGCACAGAGCAAGACTGAAGTCAGCTCTGAATGTGCCAGGAGGGAAAACCATCATACTGGTGGTCTGTGTATCCTTAGCCAGTGGATAAAGAGATTTATCTAACTGCGAGGTGAGACATTGAAATTCAGTTAAGCACTCACAGATTTTATCAGCACAGAAAATGCAGTGCTTGGTAAACACCACTGTTATACACTCTTTAACATCCAGGCATGCCTTCCTGACCAGTCTGTGTTGCTGTTACTTACAGTCCTTCTGCTGTTTCTAAGCTCCTCAGCTCGAAATGCTCAGCTTCTTCCCTCACCACCACCTCAGGTTCCTACAGGAATGAAGCTCAGTCAAAGAATTGTGGAGTTCAAGACTAGATAACATGGTAAGACTAGATAACTAGGTAACATAATATGTTCTGTTTAACTTTTTGTATTGTAGACCATTTCACTTTACCTCAAGACACATTCAATGAGTTCAGTAACTTACATTTGGTTAAATATATTTTGGAAAGACATCCAGGCTTAGATTTGAAAACTCATGGGAAAGAAAATTCACCCATTCCCTTGGTAGCTTATTCCCAAGACTAATAATTTTCATCGCCAAAAATGGTCTTTGTGTCTAAACTGAATTTGTATGAATTCATCTGCCATATGCTGCTTTTTATTCTGCTGTTATCTGCAGATTAAAAAGCCTCTTATACTTCTACTGTCTCCCCATGAGGATACTTATATAATGTGAGCAATTCAACTCTTCATCATCCTTTTGATAGGCTTAGCAGACTGAACTCTCAGTCTCTCCCTCTAAAGAAGATTCAGTAACTTTTTTTTCCCAGGTCTTGTTTGTGCCTTTGCCACTTTTTCAACGTGCTTTTTAAAATGCATATTTAATATTGGTCTCCCAGAAGGCATATTCTGAAGTGAAGGCATTTCTTTTAGCACACCTGGGAATTGAATTAGTCATTCTTGCCACAGTATTGCATTGAGGAAGCCTTCTTTCTTGCTCTTCCATAGTAACTCCTGAGACCTTCTGGGGATATAGCCCCCATTCTGTACATAAGTCTTGTTTCACTCTGAGGCATGCAATTTTGCAGACATTCTGTCTGACAGGCATCACACTAGAGCACAGTCCAGACTGCTGTGTTTGGCCTTCCTTTTCTCAATCTACTGATTTAAGTCATTTTGTACTGGCAGTGATTCTGTATTTACTTCCAGACTTACCTGCTGAGGAAAACCCTAAAGCACACGAGGCCTCACAGTGATCCCTTCAGATCCCCCAACATGATTAGTATATTAAGTACTTTCAGAGATCTCTCAGCTAGGTCTGAACCTGTTTGCTGTTCTGTGGCTAACGAACAGTGGTAAATGCTGGAAGCAAATATAATTCAGTATAGCAGCAAAGGCTCTAGAAACACTGAAACACACTGCTCTGTTCAACTACCTCTGTCAACCATGATGGGATTTTAAAGATTAAATTGTGTTTCATTTTATTTCTTCTTTTTCTTGGGCAAGGCTGAGCCTCAGTGATATGTATTTGACATGTTGCTGTGTGCTAGGAATTTGTTCTTTGTTCAAGTTTTTTTTTTTTTGTGTACAATATAATGAAAAGATGTATTATACCTATATAGCTTCATATTCATAGGATTTATATATCTAATGGAAATCTATGCCATGAATGGGCTTATGCAGCACATTCCAAGAAAGATAATTTTGCTGCAGATCATCCAGGTTATCTTCGTAGATTACTACAGTAACTGTTGTCTTAATACTATGTATTTTACAGGGGTTATCTTCCCTCTCAACACTAATACCTTCTAAAAGCTAAAACCTCAGGGCACAGATGTGAAGATGTTGATCCTTTTCCCATGCAGTGGTGCATCTTTCATTGAACTAAACCAAAAAGGAAGGTCTGACTATGAATATTTACAAGTTCTTTTGTCCATAAGCTTCTAAAGAAAACCTGATAGCATGTTTTTCTCAAAATGCTTTATAGAACAGTAACTTTATTTCTGACAGATTTTTGTGTTTACAGCTTGGAAAAACTCCAACACATCAAGCTAGTGATACAGGTGCTGCATTTTTACTGGACTAGGAGAAAGATTTCAAACAGAAATGGCAAATGGAGCGATTAATCCCTTAACTAAAATTAGCACAAAAATACATTTATTGCAGAAGACTTTGGTGATAAAAATATTTTTTTACTTATTAGCAGACTTAATATGGAGTAACTAGTTTGATACTATTCTTCATGGCTTACCTCTTTAAATTCGCCAGTCATGTCTTTTCTTGCATTCACATTTTAGATAGATAGCCTTGCTATAAGTTGGTGTTTGAAGTAGATTTAATGAGTTTTATGGAGAAAACTATTTTTGTGTAGACAGGTATTGTACTGATTTAGTGTCTGTGAAGGAGACAATGCTGGTGGGGACTCCAAAGCAGGGAGTTGGAACTAGAAGATTTTCAAGACCCTCTTCCAACCCAAATCATTCTGTGATTCTAGGACACCTCTCCAGGTCAAAATAATCTGAACCCTGTTAAAAATAGATGTAACTTTCTAAGAATGCACGCAGAGAAAGGAAGATTTCTGAGGGGTTTATGGTTTAATGTAGCCCCTTTTGTAAAAGCTTAACATGTCCAATTTCTATCTGATTTTCAGTGTCACCCTGCACATTTGACATGAGCACGTTTGTCTCACACGCAGCAGGCAGAACCAACACACCAGTGAAAGGGATTCTTTTCAGCTACACGCCTCACCGGCACCCTGATCCCCGGTGCTCCCACTGTGACCTGGCTGGTTCTTGGGGTGTGGGAGGGCATGGAAAACCACCCAGCCTGGGCCTCAGCGTTGCAGAGTGGAATTTGCAGAATTGTCTCTTCAAAAATTACTTTTGACTTCCAAACCTGTTTAGTACAAAAGGCACAGGGGGGCATTTCCACGCAGTATCACACTGCAATTTTTGCTGTGCAATGTCAGAAATTCATAACTCATTCTTAAAAGGTCATCCTGATTCCATGGGCATTGCCTCAAAGAATTGTTCTTTCTCTACCTGAGAAATTGTAGATACTTCCAAGTATCCGAAACCATGAAGAGGTATAAAATGAATATAAAGTCCCTGTAATCTGTAGCCAAAAAAGCTATTCCTTCCCTTCCCTTCCCTTCCCTTCCCTTCCCTTCCCTTCCCTTCCGTCCAGTTTGATTCATTTAGTAATTTAGTTTTTAAATCACTTTTACTTTTTACTCGAGTGATTGTGCTGGACAGAAGAAAAATCAAGTCTCGGAGTGGAAAATGATCACCTGAGTTACAGGCAAGTGTAATTTATTGGGAAAAATGGAAAATTTTAAGCCACACAGAGAATACAATGCAAATGTAAAACAGTAGGGATCACAGTGTAGCCCAAGCAATTGGAAAAATGTGTGAGAGATTTCTATCATGATCCTGAGCAAGATATTTTTAGACAGTAGTCTGCCCTGATTAAGTAATGAATAAATAAAAGACAAATCTTTCCCCACTGTTTCTTTGTGTGTAGAAGATACTGAAAGTCCTAGACTATTTCAGAAGTTTGGGCACACCATTGATTCATTTGGGTTTTGTTATGAGGCCAAAAAGAGAAAAGGAAAAAAAAAAAAAAAAGCCTGTGAAACCCTATAACTGTCCAGTCTCAGTGGTTTTGTTACTGTGCCAAAATAAGGGGTCAAGGCATAATAGCACTAGAAAAGCTCACTTGCTGTAGATTTTACATAACAAGTTCTCAGCTTCTCTCATTCAGCCTGTGCCTGTTTCTGCAACCAAGGCAGCACAGAGAGCAGATTTTAACTATAAATGTGTCAGTAGGTAGAGCTTCTTTTCCTTTGGTAAATTAAAGAAATGTCTTGATGCTTGGGGGCCAGGGGTGGCACAGAAAGTAAAATTGAAAATTCTAAAAAGAATCTCTGAAAATGTACCAAATTATTCCCTCTTTTTCTCTGTGACTTGCTAAGAAAGGTATGGTTTTGGCAAAGTAGCTTCTGCTGCTTCCAATTATAAGTTTAGGGGTATATTTTTATACTAAAGTCTATTAAGCATGGCTTACTAAGAGCTGGGTTCTTCAGCAGCACTTAGGAGTATCCCTGAGGGCCATCCTGCTTTTCAGAGGTGGCCTTTGCTATTCCCAGAGATGTGCCTGGCAGCAGCAATGGCTCAGCCCACCTAAAAAGTTTTGCCTGCTAACTTGCAGGTTGAGTAGCCTAACATATATCAGCTTAAGCTGAAACTTTCAGTCTTATCATCACTTTTAAATAAAGCAAGGCAGCAAATAAATTGTGGGCCAGATTCTGTTTGGTAAGAGTGTTCCATTAGGGGAGTTTCTGTACTCACGGGCAGTGCACTGTCTTGGCCCCACTGTAGCCACTAGGCTGGAAACAGACAAAAAGATACAGGGAGAAACAGGAGCCTTGTTGGCAGCAAGTCTGAGACAGAGAAAAATTTTATCTAACTTTGGTTCAGTGTTTGTGTTTTCTCTGCTCTTCAGGAGGACCTGCAGGGATCACGAGGATTTGGAGAAACATCATCCTCCCTTGGAGCTGAGCTTTTGCTCTGCTGCAGCCTGAGAGTACTTTGATCAGAGATACAACAGCAAAGCTGCAATTTATTATTGTTCATTGTCACCTCCAGCCACAATTAACATTTCCCCTTCTCATTAGAGGTTTTTTCCTCTGTCCCTTTTCTGTTTCCCTTTTTTTTTTTTTCTTTTTTAAGAGAATAGCAGAAGTCATAGCAAAGGTGACTGCTTGTGTCTATGGCTTGCAGTGTACTATGGGCGTAACACCATAACTTCCTTGAAAGAAGACAGATGCTGTAAACCCCTGCCTCCTTCCCCTCCTACCAAGTGTCCCACCAGGAAACCTCCTCCCAAAACTCACATCTGCACCCGTGACCAGAAGCAGATGCAGCTGGCAAACTGCAGACCCACAGACCTGGCAGCATCCTTCCCCAAGCAAGCTAAAGAACAAAAAGAAAGGCTGTGCAAGAGGCAAACCTGCAGTCCTTGCAAGTAATTTAGGTTTGCTTGGATTAATGTTGTGGTTCTGCAGCATGCTAACAGATTGTTTATGTGCATGTATTTTCATGCACATTTAAGGTGTTTGAAGTCAAATGCAGGACTTCAACTATGTAACTCCCACTACCATTGTTGCAAAACCTTTGTCTAGGTGTTATAAGACTGACATACAAATATTGTGTGCACATGCATTTATAAAACCTGTGCATGCATTTATATTGCATTTATGCAAGCTTGTAGGGGGGAATGATATAGTTGAACTCAGCTTTCTGAAAAAACACACTGAAAAGCACATTTTTTTCCTCAGATGAATGGTAACTTATTATCATTCCTAGAACTTGAAAATCTGTCTCTGTGTGTGTTTGCTTTTGTCAAAAATGAGGTAATTTAATATGCAGGTCCTACTCTGCAGACATCCAGATTTTACATCCAAGTAACTACCCTGAGAAAATTAAGCCTTCAGCATTTAATATCCTACTGACATGTATTTACAAACCACTGAGTATTGATTTACCTCTCTGTATGCTGAAATGTCCTGATAAACCTGCTTTGCTCCTACACCTTATATCTCAGAATGCTGTTTCTTGAATGCAAATTATACAGGCCACTCAAAATGTACAAACCTTGGGAGATGAACAGTACTGTGAGCTTTTGTGGAAAATGTGTTTTCTGCAAGGAATTTGAGAGAAAAAACCCCGAACCCTGAGATAGAAGGAATTTCTGCACAACAAAGTCAAGATACGTGTGCACAGATGGTGGCTGACAGCACCATACTCTCAGGCAGGCTTATTAGTGCAGCCTCAGTGCCATGATAACAGAGATGTGCTGGACTGGAGGTGGCTTACACTCGTCAGCTGAGAGCAACCCGGCAATCGGTCTCACCCATTTATGCTGACATAATTAGAGAGGGAGGGAAATTCTGTGTGAAGAGACAGAGAAAAGGAAGTGACAATTACACATATTTAAAAAAAAAGTTATGGTCATGGCCTTGAGATTTTCCTTTTCCTTTTGTAAGGACTCTTTCCCCCTCTCTCACGGTTGTTAATCACGTTAGTTTTTGAAAACAAAAGGAAGAAAGCAGCATAGTCTGTCTCAATGCCACCCCCATGTTATTTGTAGCCTCCACAGGGTCACAGAAATAGTGGCTATGTTAGTGTGAGATAATCCTGAGATGTTCTTGCATGCCAGGTAAACTGGAGCCTGTCACAACGGGTGGCAGGATCACAGAAAGGGCTGGGGGAACATGGCCCTGGGTCATGCAGCTCTGGTGTGTAGGACAAGGCAGGAGTTTGCATACCTGGATGGGATCCTCTGCTTCTGCAGAACTCTCTAGTTGAGCATCACTTCATTTACAGCTACTGCAGTAAAATAAATACTACAGTACTTTTTTACACTAAATTAAAACAGCTTCTCTTCCATTCGGACTCTGAATAAATTGAGACAGCAAGATTCTCACCCTGTCTGCTCTCCCAAAGGAGCCAGAGGGACACTTTCCCCTGGTCAGACATCCTGGCACTGGTTTTATGCTGAGGCAGTGCCTGGATAGGCTTGACAGATGCACAGTGTTTTGAGACAGAGCTTGCATTCTTAAGGCTGCCAACTGCTCAGAACAGAGCTGAATGATGTGTTTCTCGGCTGGAGCAAAGCTGGGAAGTCCCCAGCTGCCTCCAAGCCCTTGGAAGTAAAGCATAAGGAAATGTAATGAACATCCTATGAGTTAAATTCCTTACTAATACGTAATTTCTAATCACTGCTCTTTAGATGTTTTCAGAAGAAGACACATGGTATAATTTCCTTCCATTTACAGGAGACCACTTTACCAGTGGGGACACCAACACAGAGAGCATTTCATGTTTCTCCAACAAGTGCATGAAATTACAGAACCTGGATGAAGATCCCAGATCTCTTAAGTCAAAGTCCATCACTCCAGCCACAAGCAGAGCTACATCTAACATTGAAGAGGCACGTGGAGCTCTCTTGAATTAGCTACATTGCCAAAAGCACAAGTGTTCTCCCATAAAACAGGTATTTCTATGATAACCAAACAATCTAAGACATTCTCATTAAGCTAAATAATATGACTGTTTCTTGAATCCACCTACTTTTACACATTTCTGAAGGAAAAGCAATCCCAGGTGTCTGGGGATATAAACAGATGTTTTTACTAAATCAGAGAGTTCCATCTCTCAGTAGTGTGTGCCTGCCCTGCCCTCTGAACTGTACATTAATTGGTTGACTCAGGACAGGTGCATCCATATTTTTAATGAAATATAATGCTTTATGGTCAGATTTCAGACTTTATGTTCCAAGACCAAATTAATATAGTTTTGAAGGCATCACAGGAGTTATAAAGTTGATAAACTGGTATTAGCATTACAGTTGAAAAGACTTTTCTGATGGATTGTTAGCCTTAAGGCACATACAACAAAGATGTTTATACGTAACCTACATATACAATACAAAGCTCTAGAAAAATATTTTCCTCTCAGACTTACCCAGAGTGTCACATTGCAATTTTCAGTTAAATTTAAACTACATTTAAAATTAAAACAGTGATCTCCAATGACACATCACCAAGATAGCACAGCCTGAGGCAGGAGTAGCTCCAATAAATTTGGCCTTTTGGGGGACTTCCACCAGAGGAAATTTCCAGAGTATGTGCTGTGTTTGATTGCACTGTGGCTGCACACCTCTGACTTCAGCATGCAACAGTCTAGCTGCAGTTTTAGAAGAGATGGGCACAATAGCTATGTCTGAGCTTTGCAAGCCAAATCCTACCTGGAAAAAATAAGCTGTCTTATGTTGATGTATATATCAAAATTTGGGAATGCACACCTCTGAAGTTTAATTATTTTAAATTTGTTTATTCTTGAAAAATTTTGTTATTAAAAAATTTGTTTTTAGCAATACTGTTTCATTTTAGAAGAAAGGCAGATGTAGAGCATTAGGTTCCAAAAACCAAATTTTAATTTCAGGAGGGATGCATGGCTGTCTGGTGCTTGGAAGAGACACGAGAGCCAAGGGAGCACTCTCCTGCCACGCCAGCCCTCCCACAGGCTCCCTGTAATGCCTTTACAGCACATTTTACTTGCTCTGACAACTGACCTGCATTAGAGAAGTGCTTAGAGATCTTCAAATGAAGAAATGTTCATAACTAAAAAGCATTTACTGTAATGAAGGCCCTTAAAAGAGGCTCTGCATGCCACAGCTGATCTCTAGTGTAGATATAATCACTCTGAATGTTGTGGAGTGTATTTTCATTCCTCTTCTGCATACATTATATATAATTTTCTGAGTAAAACAAACATCTGTGCACAGTTGTGGAGATGAGATTTTATGCTAGTTATGGTGGATGACATTCAGCTTTTGTTTTTGCCCAGGATTCTTACAAAATATAAACAAAGTTACAATGCAGCCTCCCACTTTGACCTTTTAAATTTTACTTTTAAAAATAGAGGTTATCTTTTATGCTTCAAATTATGCCTTTATCTCTTATAATCCCATAAGTCAGATATCACAGTCCCACTTCAATTATGCTAAACTCTTATGTTAATTTTAAATCATGTAACTTAATTCCTGGCAAAGCAGGCTGGTGATTTTCAAAATGTGGTTAATGAAGCAAAGTACAATCTAGATTCTGCTACTGAGATCATCTGAATCCCTTAGGTCGCTGAACATGACTGTGGAGAGGCTCTTCTTTACAAAAGTCTCGGTTAGATTTTCAAAAAATGAATTTTTAAGTGCAGTTAGGGGCTATGAAATTTGAAGTTGAGCGTACAAAGAAGTTAAATTACTTTCACTAGAGCCATAGAACAACAGTGCAGCTAAAACAATTACACTTCTGTGCACATACATGCTTCAAAGACCTTAAGTGGTGTCCTCCCCTGTTAAATCACAAATGCAAATCATACCAGATTTTCAAGATGACAGTCTGGGGACCTGATGTCCACGTACGTATGCAAATCAATGTCATTTTCCCTATCATTTGCAGAAACCAAATATTTGCTGATAATTTCTTTCAACACCCTCCTTGACTCAAACAATAGCTTTATCTAAGAGCCACTAAAAGACAAAATCTTATGAGAATGTGCAGATTTCAATGCAATTAAAGCTGTCCCCCCAAATCTCTGTCATTCTCTGATCAGATAGGCAGAAAGTTTGCCACTAAAATGAACTCAGTGTGAAGCTTAAGTTCTTCAGAGACTTTGTCATTTACTAATATTAATTTATTTCTCTGAATTAAAGTATTCATACCAAACTCATCTATAAATTACTCTCCATTCTTTATTAGCACGTTGCACTTTTTGTGCTTTTTTGAAAATACTAGCACCACTAGTGTGCCATTTTTTGTGTGTAAAGTATCAGTTAATTAAACACATCCACAATAGACAAGAGAAAGCAAATATATAGACACCCAAAGGTTGGTGGACATTTATTTTTTATTTAAATTTACTATATTCAATGGTCTTCCTGTAAGGCAAGAGAGATTCACTTAGGATTTGAGGTTGAATCCAATACTTACAAAAGCAGAGACTCTACTGGTCAAACCAAGATCAAATCCAAGGCAGTTTTCATATGACATAGTAGATTGCACAGTACAAAATCAAAACTTTCAGGAGGTCTTCTTTAATTGTCTTGGGTTGCAAGGTGTGGGGTGGAGTCCACAGGAAAACGAGGAGGGATTTCTGACAGGGAAGTTGGGAGTTGAACACCATCCTGTGTTAAAAGGGGGAGATTTTTGTTCACCTGAGGACAAGCATGCGTGGGGGAGGTTCAAATGCCAGATATCCCCTCCCGAACACTTCTGGGCATTAATGCCATGCACAGCAACAGCTCACACAAGCAGCAATGTGTGTGTTTACCTGTCCAAGGCATCCTTGCAGCTTCTCACTGGTACTCAGGAAATGTATCTCCCCACACCTCATGCTGATGGATGCCTTTTTGCTTCTCCTCTTTGCTCCATGGTTCCAGGGAACAGGAGGCTTTAAGCTATGGGTGATGCTAGCCACAGACAGCACAAACCCTGTCTTGGGCTGCCCAGTGTCCTTTTGCTTTTCCCCTTGGAGTGGCTTGTCCTGCCACAAGGAGAGACATGCAGAACCTGTTTGATTACACTCTGGCACCATGGAGACTGGAGGTGGCTTTTTTTCCTCTTCTGATGAGAAAACTGAGGGAGAATCAAGCAGTGAGGGTACTGAGGAAATGGTCTGGCCCTTCAGTTGGGACCAATTACTCCTGTGGAAGGACTGAATCTGTACATCATACTTTGTCTGAGATGAAGGAGAAGACAACAATAATAGCAGTAGTTGTGACCAGTGGTTGGGAACAGAGAAAAAGGGACATTTTACTTGCATCACTTTCCCATCAGGCTCTTTCCTCACCCTACAACTTGCTGTATGGTGACACTGGAGCAAGATGAACCAAACCATTTCAGAAAGAAAGGTATTGGTGACATCTTTATAGAGATTTTTCCCTATCCATTTTAGAGATTTAGTGTAGTGATGCACTTGGTAGTGTTAGGTTAATTGTTGGACTCAATGATCTTAGAGACCTTTTTCAATGGTTCCATGATCCTATGATTTTGCAGAGATTTCTCCTCCTCCTGGGACACCCTGGCCCACCCACTGGGCGAGACAGGTTGCAGGAAGAGCTGCATGTTTTGGTCAGGCAGCACTTGTGGGAGGAGAGGGAAGGGTAGAAGGTGTCTTTTGCTTTTTCTGGACACATCTTCCTCTAGGACAAATCACCAATACACATTGCACCACATAAAACTGCACCATGCACCCCATTCCTGGGGCTTGGTGACCACTGGCAAGGCAGGCAGGACAGCAAAACACAGGTGACTTCAGGAAGCTCTGGGGGCAGAACCAGTTTATAGGTTTGGGAGGCAATGGGCACACACATCTTCTCTGTAACAGAGTGCTGGGACGGGCTGATAACCAGATGCCAGCAGACCAAGAATGGTCACAGCAGTTGCATTGAAGTTGCTTCTCAGTACAGACCTTAGAATATCCCAGAGCTGCCCCGCTGCAACATAGTCCATTTCACCAAAAAAAGAGAAGACTACCGTGAATGAATATTGGGACCACAATATCCAGGTATCACATGTAATGATGCATCCACTCTGCATTAAAATCTTAATTTTGTTGAATGGAGCAGCTCTCTGAAAGGAGGGTCACACTTGTCAGCTCCAGTACATCAATCAAAATGAGGCAGTGGACTGGTGCTTCACAGGCTTACCCAAATCTACTCTGGTCATCAGCTGAGCTGCTGTGTTATTTTTAGTTTGATGCATTTGTATTCAAGAGTGTCCTTCAATAAAAAAAAGTCAGGTCTAAAATTGGCTACAGTCTAATAGTAATCAAAAAAAAATCCTTGCAACTGAGAACACTGTAAACATTTTACAAAATTAGCCAATTTTTGATCCTTTATTAATAAGTGACAGAAAATAAAAATACATTCAAAAGTTTTTTCAAAACCCATTTCTAAAGCAAACACACCAAAAAAAGAATCATGCCACTCTGAATTTTTTTTCTTAAACCATTAAAAGAACATTAGGTAAGCTAATGCAACAGCTGTTTGAGCTACTTCTTCCATAGAATAATCCATAATGTTAAGAACAGCTTTTTCAGGCATTTTAGTGCAATTTATGCTGTTTACTGGTCTTTTTTTCATTGCATTCTCCATAATTTAGTATCAATTGATATCACTCTAGCTTATAAAATCCCCACCAATTCAAGACAACTCTATTTAGCAGTAACTTCATTTCCTTTCAGGGCTAATATCAAAGTAGTTGTTTTGAATCCCAACATGATAAGTATCTAGTAGAAGCCTGAAGCTATTCTAGTGCTATACAAGTGGTGATGTATAATTGAACATTAAGTAATCCAAGTAATAGAAGTCATAGGTCAGCTGTCTCTCCTCCTTAGACAATTCCTTTAAATATTGCCTCACTACTTCTGTACTTGTTCTCTCATCAGAGGAATGTCTGTCTTTGAATTTAGGGAACTTCAGATTGGCTGGAGCACCTACCAGCTGCAGAAAGTAATTGGCATCTTCTTCCAGGGTTTCAAACTTTCCTATAAAATCATAGTTGATGAGGCAGGGATAGCAGAGCTTACTGACTTGCTCCCAGTGAATGTCCATTCCTACTGGTCGGTGGGAATCCAACAAATATTGGATAAACTCCTTGAACTTAACTCCTGATCCTGTTTTCAGTGCTTCTTCATCTGCATTATGTCTATACTTTTTAATTATTGCCTTCCCAAATACTGGATGGTAATAGCTGTTTGGGTGTTCAAACTTATCCCTGAAGGCAGATACCAGTCTTTCCATAGGATCACGTACAAATATAAACTTGGTGTACATGTTCAAGCGTGTGTAGATCCCTTTTAGGTCATAACTGTCCAATTTCCTTAGATGCTTTCCATAGTGCACATCATCATGGGAGATGTTGTTTGCTGAAGCAGCGAGTCCACTGAGCACCATGAGGACCCTTTTCCAGTTGGAGCAGCCAGCTTTTGGCACTTCACAGTACAGAACCTTGTGCCTGTCCTCTACGTAAATTCTTGACACCAGGTGCACCAGGTGGGTTTGCAGCTTCTTTCTGCTGTTGTGTTTCCTACAGAAGTCCTGCAGGAAGGCCCTGCGCTTTTCCTGGGTGCTGTCTATGTCCTGCCACTCACCACCCTTGACAAATGTCTTGTTTAATGGGTGCAGAGCAGGAGGTAAATACACCCCTCTGAACCAGCTGAGAGGGGAGTCACTCATCTTCTGCTGCTCAGGCAGCCTGCTCCCCGAGGAGGCAGCCACCACACCGAAAGGGTCAGCCCTGCCCCGCCAGTGCCTGCTGCTTGAGACAGCCATCTCATGGTTACTGAGGCCCACAGGAGCACTTCTCCTCCATGCTGCTTTCCTTGGCATCCCCAGAGGCTGGAGCGTGAAATCCTGCAAATGTGGAAAGGATCAGAGCTTAGAGCACAGTGAGAGTCCAGCCCAGCCCACTCATGTTGCAGCAGCAGCAAGGATGGTGGAGTGTGCTCTTAACCAAGCCACACCTGGTACTAAAAAGTCCCCTTTGAACTGCTTGATCAATACACCTAATTTAGGAACAAGCTGGGCTAATTACCGAAATACATGCTTCTGAAGATTACCTGTTAGCACACAGTAGGTCTTTCTACAAAAATAAATAGCTCAAGTCACACCTCTTATGAAATCAAAAATGGTTCACACAGGGGGGCTGATAGTCCTGGCAGGAGTGGCCAGGCACTTTTCTCTACTGAACACATTTTTCCCTGTGACAGCACTGGCACTGGTGGAGTTGCACAGTTATTCTCTGGAGTGCACGGGCACAATCACAGTAACAGGCGTTGGATGTAGTCCCACCACTGAAACTTGGAGCAGCCCTTGTTCCCCCAGTGGTGGTAGGGGACAAAACCAGGGCCCCTAAACAGTTGATATCAGTTGGTTTGAGCAGGGTGTAGTGACAGAGAAAATCATCCCTCCAAAATGGTCCTATTCCTACTTGCACACAGAGAGATGATGGAAGTGCATGCAGGTGTCTGTGACACAGGTGCCTGCACCTGAGCTGCTTTCACAGCTGATAAGGAAAAATAGATGCCTTTGGAGTCTATTCCATCTAACTTATTTAAACATCAACATTAATGACACCAACTAACTAAACATTAACTAGTGACCCTGCAAAGAATGTGAAAAGATGAGACTTTCCTCCTAAATGTCTCTCTGTATGTCCCCAGCCATTGTGCAATCCACAAACTGCAGGAACAGCAAAGCTTGCATATGTTTTGATGTCAGATTTTTCAGGGTCTCGTATCATGCAAGTTGACTGAGGAGTTTCTTGCAATATGGGTATTTCTGCTCACTCATTCCTCAGTGGATTCTCATGTGTCTGCTAAGCCTTGTAGATTTTTTTCTGCTGTTAGTAGGCAAGCCTGCTGCTCTACAGATACTTATTTTCATTACACATCTGGAGAGGAGGATGCTGATAGACAGGTTTTTAAACATCTTGTTTCAAGTAACAGACAAATGCTTAGATGGACAGACAAACACAGACTACCTGACTGCTTCCATGAGCCTAACTTTTTTTGGAAAGTCACATAAAAATGCTTTTCTGGCATAAACTGATTAAACATTTATGGGAAAGTTGATTTGTGGACTGGCAGATCGTACGTGTGGATTTGGGGGGATGATAAAGTTCATAGGCCAATTCAAATAAAGCTGTTAAAAATT